AGGGCTGGGATGTGGCTCCGCGGTTAAGCCCCCTCATACCAAAATAATACCAATAATACGAAAAGCAATGCATTCTGTCTGTGTCATTACCCCTGCGGCCCCTCGGCTTCCCCCATTTCCACTCAGATGTTCTGTCTGGAGGGCCTTTCCCGCGAGAGCCACACCTGCAGTGGGGACATCGGGATGGCCACTTGGGCAGGTTGAGCTGGGCCCAGCCTTACCTCCGGCCAGGAGCCCTGCTCCTCCAAATAGGAAAACAGGCCTCTGAGCACACAGGTGCCTTTAGCCATGTCGGGTAGGACGACCCCCCCCCAGCACAGTACAGCTTCCTGGACACCTGCTGGCCCTGGCCCGGGGGCTGCTTCTCCTTTTAGGAATGGGATGGCTCTGGGCTCTGGGGACATTCCACGGGGCACCACGTCAAGCCCAAAGGGAGCCCTTGCTTCTCCTCCCTCCGCCTGCTGCCCCAGCCGTGTTTGGGGATGGTGAGGGGAGCTGTCCTAGGGATGGGGGTGGCTCAGGGCCCAGCCAGGCAGAGTCCAGGCTCCGTGTGGTGCCCGGGGCCACACAGAATCTGGGGCTGGCCAAGCGCTTGTGCTCCGCCCTGTCCCCACCTCGCCGCAGCAGTGCCTGAGACCAGCGTGTGCCAACTCTGTCTCCAAGCACACGTTTGCGGGTCTCTGTGCCCAGCCACTCACCTCCGCCCACACTCCCTCTGGCTCTTGGAAGTCCCAGGAGGGCCACGGAGTCAGGCCAGCCTTCCTGTCCCCTCCCAGCCTCGGCACTGGCCTCACACAGCCTCCCTGGCGCATCAGCTCCTGCTGGGCATCCAGGGAGGGAACGCTGCTCTCCCAGGGCAGAGCCCTGCCTTTGCCTTCTAGAATGAAGCCTGAACCGCCAACTGTCAAGGGGTCCCCGTTTCCTCAGGGAAGGGGAGGAGGAGAGGGAGCTACACTCATCTGGCGCTGGAATAGTGTGGTGGGATCCAAGCCTTATCAGACCAACCTTATCAAAATGAGAAGAGCTGGCAGAAATCCTCTCTCTTTCTGTCCTTTCCTGGCTCCCTTCCCCTTCCCTCCAGGGCTGTTCCAATCCAGATCAAGAGGATCAGAAATCCGAGGAATGGGTCCAGACCTGTTTTCTTTTCTTTTTCTTTTTAATGTGTCCCATGTGATTCTGATGTATAATCATTGCTTCAGGGAAATTATTGTTATTAGAATCACAAGTCCCGAGGCCGCAGCACTGAAGGGGAACACTAGTTAGCTTCAGTGGTATCACTGGGATGTGGCCTCTTTTTCTTTTTTCCTGTTCTCTTCCGTGTTGGCTCCATTCTCAAGACTTCATCTCAGAGTTATAGAACGGCTGCAGCAGCTTCAGCCATCATGTTCTCTCTGCCTCAAGTTCTCTGAAAAGAGAGGGAGGTTCTCTCCCTGGACGTCCAGTTGAGGCCTTATTGCATCTCCCTGTCTGTCTCGGGTTGCCTTGTCACCGTTTCTTTTCTTTCCCTCCTCCAGTACTTACAAGCTTCCTTCAGTAGGCAGAACTGGTGCCATTTCAGTTTATAAGGGAATTAGAAGAGGGGACATGTGAGGTGCTGTGGTAACTGGGTTACTAGTTGGGAGGAGGGTCAGTGGAAGCTAAGGGGAGATCTACAGGAAAATGTACTCCCAGTAAAGGAATATGGGTGGATTCCAGGAGTGGGAACACTCTCAGCTAACAGCCAGCAAGGGAAACAGTACTTCAGTCCTCCCAGCGTAAGGAACTGTGTGCTGGTAAAATGTGAATGAGTGAGGGAATGGATCCTCTTTAGAGTCTCCAGAAGGGAACACAGCCTGACTGTCACCTTGCTTATATCCCAGTGAGAG